GAAGGACACTGAATGCGGGCAGTACTGGCCATTTGAGTCCCGTTCAAGTGCGAATTAAAAAGGGAAAATGGCCGAGGGAGTAACTGAATCTGTGTATATAAAATTCAATTAGAATTCTATTTTATTTTCCCTATTTTTGCCTTTCTTTCAGCGCCTTCTTATCGCTTGCAGCTTTTCTAATCAAGCGGACAGACGGCGGGCATTTCCTTCCTTCCTCGGCCGCCTTTGTTTCAGCCTTTTGCTGCTACCCGTTCCGTTGTAACTCAAAGTTGGGAAAACGAGAAGCCGCCCAGAGGCCATCAAATCAAGCGGAAGGAGAGCGGTCCCAGCACAAGATTTTCACACTGCTTCATTTGTTCCACGGCGCCAACTTTCATTGCTCTGTGCGTATTGGTGCGGCAGTTTTGAGTACCCTTTAGTTGTTGATCCCAAGGATATATTGATTTTAAGAAAATTTCCAAGAAATATGTACGGAAACAGACTCATTTATGTAGCGAAAGGCATCTACAAAATATGGGTGTGTGCTTAGCAGTCAGCTATAGTGTTTTACAAGTATTATTAGTGATATTTTTGATTTTCATGAAGTATTCTATTTGAAATAGTCAATTTTGTTATGATATGACAGACAATAAGAATTCACCCAGAGTTTTTGAAAATTTTAATTCAATGAGTTTCTTTTTTAATTTTCGAAAAATATCTTACATTGATCATCTCAGTGTCATGTTAAGTTTATATTTTGATAACTTTTAAAAAGTTATCAAGACCTTGTTTGATTTTTCAATGTGAAGTTAATTTTACGAACGAGAAATGGAACTGCCAAATAGGACCTTAGTAAGCTTACCTAGTTGGAAAACAGTTTTCTTTAGGAGTAGATACTTTTTTTAAATATTAATTAAAACTTACTAATTTTAATACTATTAAAGTGTACAATGCAATGGATAAACATATGGAAACCCCCTTAATCAACATACTTTTTCCAGCAAGTACTAGGTAAATCTCATTCGAGGCATTGTACTATCCTTGCTCCTCCCCTTTGTAGGTGTGTGTATGCGAATGCTGTGGGCCTTGTCGATAATTTTCTGCCTTTCTACACACTCAACGGCTGCCTTTGACGCAGCCACGAGAACATCTTCGGCGTGGCAGCGCTTTTGAGACCACAAATTACATTGAAAATTCCTGCTTGATTGAAGTTGATTGAGCAAGAAAATGCCGACAACGCCCCAGATTCGCTGGCGGGCAAAGACATAGCATAGCATCTCCGCTTTTCCCCCGAGGAGTTGCGTTTTGGGGAAAAGTTTAAACACCTGTCTTCTCGCTTTGTCATCGCCTGTGTCATTAAGTATTCGCGTGGGGGTTGTTGTATGTACATTCGATCGGCCTGCGGTTATTTGCCGATTTAACGTGTATTTCCGATACATGCCACAAGCCAGCTTCGCCACTCGAAGCTCAAAGTATCATAATTAATGAGCCAGCCCAACGCCCACACGTCCGCCCCCCACCGCAAAACTAGGCGTGGCCGCTTGCCAAAGTGTAATCTCATTTAAATTGCATTTCCCACGTTGGCCCCCAGCAAAAATACAATCGCATTAATGCCTGCATTTGACGCACTTTGGCCCGCCATTTTGCACTTCCGTTTTTGGCCATTGAAGTTGAATGGAAATTTCGGGCCTAAATTCACAGTGATAGCAGTTTCGAATCAGTGGAATAATGATTGTTGCCATGCCTAATGAGGAAACATCATTACTTTTTATATTCAATAAATAGTATTTCTTTTGACCCTCTGAGAAAAAATATTTCTGATAAGAAAACCACTGATTATAAATTAAAGTTAATTCAATGTTTGAAATGTCAATAATATAATCAAGCCACACTTTGATTAGATTTATGTATATGATCTCCTCATTTAATTTCTGTAGATCGCCTGATACATAATTTTATTTCAAATTAAGTATTTCCCAAATCGTTATATAAACTGTATTTTGACTTGAGGAACTTTGATATGGTAACATTTTTAATTAGGGAAGTTTAACGAGGTACAGATTGCCACCTGAAGTGATAACAGTTCAGATTCGATGGAATAATTATTAATGCAATGCCTAACAAAGAAAAAAAAATACTTTTTATAATCAATAAATCTTTTGACCCTCTGAGAAAAAATATTTCTGATGAGCAAACTACTGACTATAAATAAAATTTGAATCGCTAAGCTCAATAATATTATCAAGATTAGATTTTGATGATCTCTTGATCTCATTTTTTAAGATCACCTGATACATAATTTTATTTCCAATAAAGTATTAACCTTATAGACTTTGACATGGTATCGTTTCGAATTAGGGAAGTTCAACGAGGTACAGATTTCCACATGTTAACTACAATTAAAGATGTGATCACTTTCAGTACCGCTAATAACTCTACTCCCCTATTTATCCAATTGAACGATAATAACCCTCTCGGAAAATTGCCTCACTCAATCAGCTTAAGTCTTAACGCTCGCTGAGCTCTGGACATAAAACCCCGACAGCTAAACTGTCTTTTATCACTGGAGCGTACTGTATTTAATTTATGGAAGCTGTAGATTGGTTTACGTATAAGCTGATTGCGAGATTATTGTGCAAACACTGGGTCCGCTTTGTCTGGCATACAGCAAAACTATGGGGTAAATGTCGCCAGACAGTATACACTCGAAAGAAGGCAAATACTAGATTGTTAATTAATATCAAATAGTATTTAGTTTGATACTCACCATTAGGTAAATGGATGTCGAAGATTCCCGCCGTCGAAGAGCTGTCAAGAGCTTGAAAGCCAAGTCAACAGCCAAACAAAACACGCAGAAGACATTCGAAATGGCTTAGGGGAACTGAATTTGCATTTGGAATCTAGAGAGTTTTCGGCTCCGAAGAGTGGAAATGCAAATCGAATAAATAGAAAATAAATAGACGGCACTGGCAAACAAAATCACTCAGTGCACACAGAACGAATTCAGAGATAGAGGGGCACAATCTTTAAAGAAATGACTTTCCCATCATCATCCGCCCATTGTCATCATCATCATCATCGCCCTCCAAGATTCTGTGGATGCGTTTGTTGCGGCTTTAAGTGTGCGTGTGTGTGTGTGACCCCAGGGGGCATTGGCAGTGGGTGGGAAAAGTGGGAAAAGTGGGTAGGAGGTGGATTCTGGGAGGTGCAGAAATGCTGACTATGCTGCTCAGCCCGGTCATGTTGCGTGCCGAGCAGCTTAAGTCGTTATGAGATGACAATTTCTATACCGACTGAATTGCGACTGAGCTGCGACTGCGGCTGAGCAGCGGCAATATCAACACTTCCGTTCGGAGTACACTAAAGAAATATATATTTCTGGTGAAACTTTTATGTGAGCCATTAAAAATACAAATTCGGATTGAAAGTTATGATTGTCGTCATCTTTATTATCGCATGGATAATTATTCCCGTCTGACATTGCCGCTTGAGTTCTATAAAGAATTCCTAGGGGATAGGGCAAGAGGGACCATTTGGCCTATTTTAAACGATCGGGGAAATTTTTGAAATTGGTGTAGAATTCCCTTGTGAATTCCAGGGATTGGTATGGAATTTTATTGTGATCACAAAACTAATAATAGGCAAATATAACTATACTGAATCTTTTACTTACTAGTACAGATTTGGGATGTATTCCTGTTTCTATCTAATTTAAAACAAAGTTTTATGCAGAACGGATTTCCATTAGAGCTAAATCATCATAGTTATTTAAAAAAAAAAACATTTTAATTGTGTTCCAGCTAAAAGCCTCAAATGATTACCCAAAAATCGATTTGCATCAACAATATTATGATCATTTCTAAATTAGAATAATCAAAATGCTTTATCAAAATACCTTAACCATAATATCCCAGGTTTTCTTGGTTTGAAAGATAAGAATTTAATTTGATAAATACGTTTTGACCTCTATATACTATTTTTAAAGAAATAAGTTTTATTCTAAGCATTGGAACAGTCTAAGATCGAGTTTTCCCTCAAGATGCTAATAGACCATCGATCATCGTTTATGATATTTTTTTATGTGTACTCCCCCATCTTTACCACCCCCTTCAACCACTTTGATTGCAGTGCCCGGGGCACTTGGCATTACAAGTGTGTGTTCGGCTGTGGGACTTGGCTTATAGACAGCGATTCTCGGGCCTGATGAGTGGCTCTGCCGTCGGTGATTCGCTTGGCAGTTCTTATTTATGTTATCGCTATCGCGGCGGCGGCGATGGATTCTGGTTATATGTGTATTTCTCCCTCCAGCGTTGGACTCTCGATTGTTGCATTTTGCATTTCGCATTTCGCATTGGCACTGGGCACATAACAAATAACTCTGGCGATTGCGATTAGGGTTTGTGCATTTTTCACTGCGTTTCGCCAAGCGTGTTTTTTTCGCATATATTTCTCCTTTGGCCATTTGGCATGTAAGCCTTAACGAACGTGCGACGGGTGGCATTTGTTTGTTTCATGTACTTATGTATATTATATATATATTTGCGCGACAACATTTTATTAATTGCACAAAATAATCACACAAATGAAACCGAAAAATTTAAACGACGGCAATGACAACGAAAGCGGAAAAAAACACAAGGGCAAAGAGACAAGAGCAGATGCAATAATATTTTCCCGAAATATATATATATGTTATGTGTAGATTTTCCGCGAAGGCTGCTCACTTTTTGTTTTAATTTGATTTTCGCACAAGAGATATGTATATATATTTCGCAAATTAACTGCAAAATGCATTTGGCGGCCCAGCGGAAGTGCGCTCGCACAATGTCACAGAAAACAGCGACGGCCAACGCTGCGTATACGCAATGGCACGCGCGCGCGACATTTAACCGAAATTCATCCGCACCGTTGGCAGCAATCAATGCGCTTGTAATCTCCAGCTACAATCATTAACTCGCCGCTGCTGCTGCTGCTGCTGCTGCGACTGCTGCTGCCGACTGCTGCTGCTGCTAACCTCTTACCCCCAGTTATATTTCTTTTGCGGGCGGGGGTGCTCCACTCTAAGAATCCGAATCCGAATCCGAATCCGTAGAATCGCAATCTGTAGCGCGCCTATTTCCTCTCAGCATGCGACTGCGACTGCGAGTGCCAGCGGCCTTACGAATATTCTGAACGGGCCAAAATGGCGAGCGGACTGCGAACTGCGGACTGCGACTGCGGCTGGCTGACAGACGAATGAACTGCCGAATTTCCCTGAGCGGCGCACGAAGCTCGGAAAGTCGAAAACTCGGCAACTCGGCAACTGTGCGACTCGGAAGCTCACGGATACGTGCGCCACACTGACACACTTGCACACTTACAGGCTGCGTTCCCAGCTCGGAGTGTGGATGTGAATCTGCCCCGATACACACGCAGCTCCTCGGCCGTCGCTTCCGTCCGCAGCCGCTGCCGCTGCCTCTGTCGCTGCCTCTGCCGCAGAGTGCCGACTGCGGCGTCGACTGCGCGCATGTTGCACTCAAACTGGGCCGCCGCTCAGTCGCTCAATTCGCATTCCGTCAGCCATTCGCCCGCTCACCCACTCAACTGTTCAGTAGAGAAAGAAGCGAAAACCGCTCGGCTGTTACTGTTAGCCCAATGTTAACTGCTCGGCAGAGCGGCCTGTGAATGTGTGTTAATGGGTTACAGATTTACAGAGCTGTTAGCTGCTGCAGGCGAGGTGCTGCTAAGTGCGAAAAATGGCACTCTATCAGCAGAGATACATTGCATTTGGCTAATTCATACATTATATTTTTGAAAATGTTGTACTTTTAACATTAGGTATATTTATTTATTTATTTATTCTCAGGTAAAAAGGCAATTACAAATTACCTATAACCTATGTTTCTTTTTTGCAGCTATAGCTACTGTGGCCTTAAGCTACGTTTACTATATAAATATATTGAAATTTTTACATTGTGACTATGTCTAAGTTTTAGAAGAGATGATATAATTTTATTGCTTTTACGAATTTCAGGAAAGCTAGGATATTTAAGGTGTTAGGAGTAAGAAGTCCAGTTGGAAAATTAGCTTATATTGTAGTAAAGTATAAAGTATAATTTATAAAGGCTTAATATTCCTAACCAGCATGTCTAAAATAAATATTTAAAGGTATTATATTTTGAATAAAATGTCTTCGATTTATTGTAAAGCAAAAAAACAGCTTGCTTTCATTATAAATACGCTTAGCCTTAAAAATAATAGGATCAAATTTATTAGATGCTTTAAATTTAAATAAAATAAAAAGATAAAGATAGTATTTAAGGCCAGCCTTCCCACTCTAATATATATTTATAAAATGTGAATTGATTTTCGACGAACACTTATGTGAAAATATTGGGATTTTGAACAATAAAATGAAAGCAATCCATATGCTAATCTCTAAAGCCATCCTTTCCACTCTTATATATATTCGTTTAATGTGAATTGATTTTGATTGAACTCACATTTATGAAAAATTATTTGATTAATTTTTTTACAATTTTAGTAAAAATTTATTATGTTATCTTAACAAAATGTAACAAAACAAACTTTCAAAAAACTGCAAATTAATAATGATAACTCATTTAATATCACCTGTTGTATTTAAAAAGAACATCCTAACTTTTTCAGATACTTTTACATAACATCATATAAATCTGATAAAATCCTTTATTAAAATCTTAAAATTCGGAATGGTGAAAAACAACATATTTCTTTTTTCCAAAGCGATTGTTCAGATTTCCCCCCGACTGTGCAACAGTTGCTCCCGCTTGATGAAAATGTTCCGCACTCGCCGAGCTGTCTGATTGTGCTTGTACTACAAGCAGCTCAATACTGGCGTGACAGCGCGGGCTGTCTAAGCCATTAAATGCATGACAAATTTGGGCTGTCAACAAGCGGAAGACGAGGAGCAAAAGTTTTCCCAGCCATAAATTAGCACAACGCAGCTCGCAGCCCACTAGAAAGTCGCAAAGTAAATTCCAATTAAAATTTCAGCGTAAATGCCGCAAAATGTAAATTATTCGAAATGAAGTCGTCGTTGGTTGTTGGTTGTTGGTTGTTTTGTAGCCGTAGCGGTGGCAGGCTCCGCTTTTGTCGGTGTTTTTGCATTTGCGGTTGCGGCGGCGCCAGTCGACAAACACACGTATCTGAAAAGAGGACACATTCTGCAGCACACCTCCCTTAAGCCCAACACCAATGCCATCCACCAGACACATCCTATACGTAATCACCCCTTTTCAGCGTTCAGCTAAATTGTTTGTCTTCGCTTGACGTGCTCCCAGAATCCCAGGATCCCAGTCATCGAAATCCGAACTCACGAACTGACGAACTTACGGCCTGGCTAAGGGCCCTCCCGCAACTCGAAATTGCTTTGTGGGGGGAAGCCTTTAAGTAGACTATAAATACCACCATCCCTCTAACGCCGGCTGAGGAGGAAAAACGCCTTGCAGCAATTTTGACATCAAACGTCTTCACACTCGCACATATATCCATCGATGTATTGACGGCTGTCAGGAAAGTCTGGCACTGCCAGCAGATATGCGAGCACACGTGGGACTATTAGACTTCAATAAATTCAATTTACACAAATTTCAAATCCACCGCCCAACCCCCCACACTATGGAACGCCCTTGGCAGAAGACGCAACCTGCATCCGCAAACAAATCAAAAAGCAAATACATAAAAACATGGTCAAAAAGAATGGGGTCAGTGCGAATGGTAAATGCCCTTTAGGAGTTTTTAAATAAGTATTAAGACTTATAAGACTTATATTCTCAATCTATAGAAGTGTAAGACACTATGATATTTCTATAATATTACTTTATAGTTGGAACTAGTTAAGTAAACATAAAGGTAATAGCTTTAGGTATAGCTATAGGTTCCATTTTATTTCCAGTAATTTTCTGGCTTAATTTAAATAACTATTTAATCAATAAATTCCCAGAGAATGTCAGATAGATCTTAATTTACTATTCCAGTCCTTGCAAAGTGTATTATAATATTATTAGTTGGCCATAGCTTTAAGGGAATGTTTCCAATATAAAGCTGAAACCAGTTAATCTCATCTAGGGTATTTTCCCAGCAATAATCAATCCTTATGCCAACTCATATAAACAAGGCGCTCGCTCCTCTTGACATATATAAGCAAATTTAAATTGGGTGCAGGTCGTGGGGCAAAGATCAAGGGAGCACCGGTCCCAAAGGCCTTCCCTGACTCCCTGCCTCCCTGATATTAGGCGTGTTTGCGGGAATATAACCCAAAAGTATTGGCCAAAGTCTTCAGCTGCATCTGTCAAGCGTTTCGGATGGGGAGTGAGTGTTGCTTGAAGTGGCCCAGGGAAAGGATGCTGCACTAAGCGGATTCCGCTGGCAGGGAAACCCGCCAAATTGCCAGGCGACAGACGCGGCTGTCACGCCCTCTCCACGGACCACAGATGCCGCTCAAATGCAGCTCAATATGCGACGCCCGCTGCCAAACTGTTTGGGCCAAAATCGAACGCTGCGTGGCATGCGGGCAGCATAGCAAATGACTTTTGATTGACATGTTTGACATTTTGCACGACTGGCAAAAATTGCTGGATCAGCGCCCCCAGCCCCCCAGCCACGCCCACATTTATTGCATTTTGAATGCGTCAGCATAATTGCGCAGTTTCGTTTTTAACTGATAAAAAGGGGGTGCCAGTTATAGAAAAAAATAACCTTCAATTGAGAAGGCAACTAAAAATATAACAAAAATAAACTTTCTTTCTGTAAAGACTTCTTGAGTTTCTTTCTTAAATGATAAAAAGTGGGTGAACAATGGAAATGCAATATCTTTAAATAACTGAATAACTTTAATATTCTTGCATTTCCTTTTTTAACTGAAAAAAAGTGGATGAGAGCAGAAAAACTATTCCTCAATATATTAGGTATCTAAATATATAACAAAATAGACATTTCCTTTCTTGAATGTCTGTAAATAACTTAAACAATTCTTTAGTTTCATTTATAAAGGATAACAACTAAGTGAGGGCACAAAAGATGGAAACTTCAATACATAAGGTATTTCAAACTAACAGACTTCGGATAGCTAAAAAAGTTTAGTCTTAGTTGAAACTAAATTTAATAAGTTTAATTTCGCAAGTAGTTAGACAGTTGAAATTCTATTTCCTTTTCTGTTTTTGTTGTGCATATTTGCTGGTGGAAAATTGAAAAGCTTGCAGTTTTCTGAGGGGGAAAAACCAACAATCCACACCCGGAGTAACTATCCCATGTGCTCGGCTATTCGGCTATCCCAAAAGTTGCCGCTGCTTCAATTGCTCCAAAAAGAAAATAACCTCAAGACCCTCTCGCCTGCGCATGCTTTCTCCTTCCTGGTAAAAGGGAAAACAAAGAATCCGCCCCGTACAAGTGGGCGGGGTCCTTATACACACAAACATTGGCACAGTTCAATGCACAATTGATGGCAACATAGCGCATAGAGCATATGAGTGGATTATGGCCCAGCAGGCAGTGGCAACCGATTCCATTCGATTCGATTCGATATGAGTATGCGATGCGATTCCGTTTCGTTTGCTCCGCCAAATTATGGCAGACATGCGGTCAGGCGGGGAATCTGCTGGAGCTGCCAAAGGGCCACTAATGATGGCCAAAGTCCATTAAGTCGGTCATGTCAGCGGCAAAGACAATGGTCGATGGCCACCGAGGAGCAGACCCAATTGGCCATCAAAATGGGAGAGGGCCAGGGGACCGGATCGAATTATTTGAATCGCCGCAGGGTGAAGGATGGTCTAATGGGCATCTCAGCCTTCTAGAATACATAATTTTCTTAGTATTCATATCTAACATTTAAAGCCCTCAACCGCAGGGATAATCAATCCCAAGAAATACCAAACTAATTTAGAAGCCAAAGTTTGTTAAACCAAAAGTTTCGTTGAAAAGTTTCCTACTCTAATTTAATATAGCATACTTTTCAGAGCGATTTCGGGTTACCAAAACCATTGATTAGGTCGATTGCCAAACGTGCAACGTGTGCAACAGCTGTTTGACAATTACGGTTTGTACGCTTCAGCCGCTGGCAAACATATTAAAATTATAATGCCTACAAAACCAGATTACTGGGCCCAAAATCATAATCGAATTATGAACAAACGGTTGCCGCAAAACCATTTAATTGACTTTTGCACCGAACGGCCAGGGAAACAAATGCAATAACAATA